CTTCTAACGATAACATTTGTGTGTCCTCATTTTCAAATGACATAACATTTGTTGTTCCAATGTTTAAATGACACCCCTTTTTCTCTCTCTCTTTGTGTGTGTGTGTGTGTGTGTGTGTGTGTGTGTGTGTGTGTGTGTGTGTGTGTGTGTGTGTGTCTGTGTCTGTGTGTGTGCTCATGTTCAAATGATATTTTCAGTTTCAGTATTCTTCTATTCAGATTAAGTGATTTCAATGTTTTTTTTATATATTAAAATTACGTTTTTGGTTTTCCTGCACTCAAATGACCGTTTTTTCTGTACCCGTGTTCAAGTAGCTTTTGAGTGTACCCCAGTTCAAATAACGTTTAACCCTATCCGTACGCCCATGGGTCATTTTGTTCCCCCGGGTTGTATTCTTCACATTTTAGAATACTTCTAGTACGAAGATCTTTTTGCAACTTTCAGTATTTCTGACAAAATCATTCTGACAGACTGCTATGCAAAGCGTACGGATCGGATTAACGAGTAAATTTCCTTTTGGAATCTGGTGGCACAGAGTTCCCCACGTCGTATGGATACGATAGTAAAACACGACGTACGGATAGGGTTAAATACCCCCATGTTCAAATACTATATGAGTGTGCTCCACTTCAAATAACGTTTATGTGTTCCTATTTTCAAATAACGTTTATGTGTTCTTTTCATGCCAAAGTAGAACAAAGGTTTCTGTATTTCTAGTGTCTATTCAGCCGAATGCCTTTTTGAATTATAGCAGTTTTGTAAACTACAGTTTGGATAAAAAAGCAGACTTTTGAGTTGGCACTCGCAGCGTTAAATAAGCCCCACATGAAAGTAAAGTGCTTGTGAAGGCAAGAGTAATTTTGCACCCTCCCCTCTTAAGTAAATTATTAAACATTCCATGTACTTCTTGCATGGCTTCACGGGGACCCGAATGTGGCCCCACTTAAAGTGGAGACCCTGGATGTGTGTTGTAGGTCAAACAAGTTCCCAACGGAGGGATCAAGTTTACTTTTACTCCAGTGAGAATGGTTGCCTTATTTTGTAGTTTTGTTATTATCTCTATGAATGAGAACGTCTTATTTGCGTCTGTGACATAGCAACCAGGCACTTCGCTGTCTCACACAAGAGATCCGAGTTCGATTCCCGAATGGGGAGTGCATTTTTATCGAGAATCTCGGTCTTTCTGATGGGATGTTGTATCTTTCTCAGCCCGAGTTGGCCCTGACAGGCAGGGTCGATAGCCTGCCTCCAAAATGATTTAAACTGAGTCGATAGGGGTGTTAAAATACTTGCGTAAAAGACAAACAGCTTTAGGGCGCCTTAACGGATAACAGCCTAGATCTCTGTAACCAAAACCAAAAAAGAAAGCCCCCGAAAAACAAAACTAACCAAACCACCCCCCTCCCCAAAGAAAACCCCTCAACAAACCAGACCAAACCAAAAAATGATATAAGACCCAGGGACTCAACTGACGTGCGTGTTATGTACTGCAATCTTATCACCAAGACACAAAGCAGTACCGGTATGCAAGTGTTGCCGAATTTCTCGCAAATTATTTCTGTAACAGACAGAGAGCAAAGAAGACGTACATTGATCTATTGCTTGACAAACAGCTTGTTTGATCACTGGCGGTCTGCGTGTGCTTAAGAAAAATGCCCCTGAAATACCCACCTGCAGTGTACGCACACCTATGAACATTATTTGAGGTTATTCAAATCATATAGAAAGGTATAGAAGGTCATTTCTACCATCATCCACCAACATTCATCCATCTTAACCCTCATGTTTAAGTATTCATATGACCTTAGAGCATTCATCAGAATAACATTGAGTATGTATCTAGCTTAAGATTATTACTGTTTATATTGTTGTTCATTTATATTATCCATGTGATTGTAAACCTGCGTGTGTGTGAGTGCATATGTGTGTGTGTGTGTATGTATGTGTGTGTGTGTGTGTGTGTGTGTGTG